TGTGGTCAGATTAATTCATCTTGATATTGATCATACATGAACACAATTTCTAGGCTCTTTTTCATCCTCTCCAATCTCACAGAACTACTACAAGTTCAAAATACTGTTTTATCATATTTAAGCTCACAGACTGCGTTTGGGAGATCACTGCCAAGAAACAGACATAGTAGTATCTTTTAGATCTAGTAGCTGTGCTCACAAGCTCTATTAGTAATAGTAAAATGACAGCAGAGTAAATTAGTTAAGAGACTTAGATCTACGAAGTACATCAGTGCTTGCATGCTGTACTGCAACTCAGAAGCTTCTGCCCATGCCCAGGTTTGCATGAGCAGTGCTCTTAAAGAACGCACCAACTTCGCCTCTACACACGCCCAGAAGCAACACTGGTAACAAAACTGTGTTTCAGCGTACTCGGCTTGTACAAAGTAATTACTCCTGCACCCATGTCCCCTAAGGGAGCCCATCCTGTAAAACATGCTTAGACCACACCTAGAACCCCGCAGAGGTCAGCAGCATTCACTTTCGCTCAAAAACGTAGCAGGCCAAGAAGTTAAAAGCAGCCATTCTTATTATATAAAAGCTCTATGGGCACCATTCAAAACCTGGGTATTATGCAAAAGCTAGGGGTGAGGCCACGCTGTAACCTTCCTGTTCTGCCTAGAGAAGCACAGGCTTCTGAATTCTTAAGGCCAAGGACAGAACAGAGAACTATTTGCCTTTGTAAATCAGTGGTCAGCAAGCAGAGAACTGACTCTTGGTGCAAGCTCCCACTGTTTATATGAAGTAGGTGATCAGCTGTTCCTGGGAGAAGGCTCCTGCCCACGTCTCTTTATAGATCTGGTCCTAAGTATCTCTACAGATCTAAAATTTCAATTAAGGGGAAAAAAAAGCTTAATTTTATATATATATAAAAGGAAAATGTATGCTGTGTCATAGCCTGAAACATGAGATAAAACTTTAAAATCATTCTAAATAGAACTCTAGGGGATTCACATTCTAGAGGCCTTAATTAGTAGAATTTGCAGTTAAGTCAGAAGCAAATGAGGGCTGGCACAAATGGAAGATGCCAAAGCACGTCTGAAAGTCATTTAAACACACATTGTCTCCTGAAAGCCAACAGTTCTGAAGTCCTGTCAAACTGAACCTCCAAAAGAAAAAACTTTTTTCGGAACCACGGTATAAGATAATGTGCAGAAACATTTTAAGATGGCATTTTGCAGAGATCTAATCAGAGGATAAACAGATGAGAAGAGACAACTGAACTCACACCATGGTCAAAAAGAAAAAATCTTTCTCTCAAGTGAATTTTTCAGAATGCCAAAAGTGACCATCTGTGAAGATTTCAAAAATGTCTGTTTCAGCCCCCTCCATGTGACTGCTCCACCACTTGCTGTTTTATGTCTCTGTGCTGTGAAATCTATTAATAAACTGAAGGAACATGAGGATCTGACAATCCTTTCTATAAACCACCTAAATCCAAACTAGGGGAATATTCAAAAGTTAATTTGTTGGGTGAGAAGTTGGAAGAAATAGATACGGAAACATACTGTACAAAGAAGTGCAATTATTTACTTAATTTTTTTATTGTATGGAATATAATACAGCTGGGGCTGTTCATTAGGGAGCTGGGGCTGTTCAGCCTGGCAAAGAGGAGGCTCAGGCGAGACTTTATCACTCTCTACAACCACCTGAAAGGCAGCTGTAGTGAGATGGGTGCTGGCCTCTTCTCCCTAGTGAACAGCGATAGGACAAGAGGGAACAGGCTCAAGTTGCGCCAGGGGAAGTTTAGATTGGATATCAGAAAAAACTTCTTCACCGAAAGGGTGGTGAAGCACTGGAATGGGTTGCCGAGGGAGGTGATGGAGTCACCATCCCTGGACGTGTTTAAAAAACGGCTGGATGTGGCACTTCAGGAGATGGTTCAGTGTTACGGTGGCATAGGGCTGTAGGTTGAACTTGATAATCTTAAGGTCCTTTCCAACCTTGATGTTTCTATGAATTTCAACAGCTTGTGAGCAAGTTTTAATCAGAACAGTCAATATTTTAAATATATATATGCATATCTATCTTACCTTTGCAGTTAGTTCCTCAGCAGTTACATTTGGTTCATATGGAATGGGTTCTCCAATAAATGTACGAAGCTTGACTGGAAACCCACCGTATATAGGAACTACTGGCAATCGAATACGTTCATATAGCAATCTAAGTATTTCTAATGTGAAAAAAATAGGGGAAAGGGAGAAAGCAGAAGAAAAAGGAGGGGGGGGAGGAGGGGAGAAAGAGGGAGAGAGAGAGACTGAGATTATTCTGTAAAGTTTTTTTTCACGATGTATCTTAAAACTGAAACTGGCTGGTCAAGTAATCCAACCCCTGACCCAGATTCTCAAACAACATGTCATCTCAAGTGCTCTTCTACCCTCCACTTTCATTTCCTAAAAGCTCTGTTAATGTTGACATCTGACTTGTTTCCACTCTAACTTTGTGTGAAATCTCTCCTCCAAAGAGTAACTGCAAAGAGAAGGAAGAAGAGGAGAAAAATCCAGTAGCTGCCTCACTGGAGAGGAAGGGAATGCTACATAATACAGGTTACAGTTCAGCTAATTTTATAGATTAGCACAGAAACTAGTATTGGAAGATGTTCTGTTCAGTCCTGCTGATGTCTAGAGGATCAGAAGTAGTCTCCTTGCAGAACGGGTGCTAACGTTCTCCCTCTCAGTTTTAGACAGGAAATTCCTTTAACTGAGGTGCTGGTGTTGGAAAATTCTTACAGACCAAGATGTGGAATTTTCTGTACACAACCTGTAAGCACAAAGAATATTCCAAATGCACTGAAACTGGAGTAACACCTCCAGTGATCAACAGTACTAAATTCCTCCAGCATCTCTGCGGCAGAATACAAATAACATGAATGACTTGGGCCTCAATTTCTGATTGTTTCAGAAGAGTCTTCTGAACGCAGCAACAATTAATTGCTGTTTATTTTTCTACAACTTGATGAATGCGTGAGTTACTCTGTGCGTCTACATCAGACGTCTTGGCTTTCTCCATGCAATATATAGCTTTTAATTAGAGGAGGAGAGAAACAGAGTCGTTTTGCCCTGCAGCCCTCTGATGAAGATGACGATCCCATACTTAAGGCAGAACATGTGGTGTGAACAGTCTCCTCCACACTTTCTGCTAGACAGTAAGTCAGAGAATACAAAACCACTAGAATTTACCACTATTTAAGCTAGGGTTTAACACCAGTAGATCAGCAGAGATGTGGCCATCTAATCATCCCAGAGGTGGAGCCTGCAGATATACACCCATCTATTCATGTGGTGGCTGGAAGTCCCACAGAGACAAGGAAAAAGAGCAGCAAATGGAAGGTTTTGTGAGGAACCACTGGTCTAGTGCTGAAGAGTACACCAACTACAGATTAAACGCATTTCAAACCATTCAAAGTTTAAGTGCAGGTAGAGGCGTAAGCACAGAGCTTTAGGAAGGCACTTCAAGACATCACATGCCAGTTGCACACCCCTGTTTGCTTGGCTTCTTAACCAACAGCAGGAAGCTTAAAGTTGGCCTAGCAGGTATAAGCAGAGAAAAATAAGTGCTCTTAAACTATTTGCTTTTTTCTGGGTCCTTCTTCCTTCCTTCTACTGCTTCTGTGAAGGCACACTGTCATGTGGAGAATAGCTTAGATGAGCCAATACCACATCCAATGCTGATATTAAATCCTAATTAATATTTCTGAACTCAACCAAAGACTAAACCTCCAGAAACAAGGCTGTATCAAATCTCAAATTTATATAGTGATTATTTCTACAGAGATAAGCTAAACACATACGGAGAAATAAACTACAAAAAAATAGAAAATATCTTACTTATTCCTCCTAACGTCCTAAAGCCTTCTCGAACATTTTGTGTAAACATAGGAATGATGGGCTAGGAGGGAAAAAAAAAAATTAAGAATTTAATGAAGATAGCACTACCTCAGAAACTTCTACCTCACTCAAACCCAACAAGAAAATTTAATTTCAGAAGTGTTTCTCAGACAAGGACACACAGAGAACAAAACAAGTATTCTTCAGTTCTACAACCTTCTGCCAGGAGGTTTCAAGCTGGATAATACCACGAGATTTCAGCGAGTCACTGTTTCAGCAAGTCCATTTCCTCAAAGCAGCCCAGGATTTCAGAACCTACAAAGCATTCGGGCCTCCTCTCATCTCGCAGTGTTTACATGGTTGTGACTTAAGTCGTGAAACCTCTTGCCAAATTTGTGGTTATGCTCAAAGGGAAGAATTCATGGGATTGGGACTCTAAATTTATCTGACTCGTTTCTGCTATGCTGACTGTATTGTTATGAACTGTCATATTCAATACATGCCCATGATTTACTTCTGTTAATGAGTATTTGGAATGGTGTTGAATATTTCAAGTTTTTATTACTGGTTTTGAACTTTCAAAGAGCTCTCAAGATTTTTAAGAACTGGGAGGTTTTTAACATACATTTTACAGTATGTACTCATTGCACATCATCAGAAATACAGAACTCTTTAGGCAATTTTCAAACATTCAGAATTTTTTAAACTTTTAAAATTCTTTTAAACAAGCATGGAGATCAGCTAGCAAAACTTTTCCAACAGGTATCAAGATGGTTTGGGGCAGAGGGTCTGTAAACAATTCAATGCAATCATAGTGAAAAAAATAAGTGCAGTTGCCTAACCTGAACGGTAACAAGCTTCATTATTCTAGAGCCTTCTTCTTTGGAACAACTTATCGTTTACACAGAGGTAGAGATTTCTGTATGTACCAAGTTGGTTTACATGGAAAAAAATTCTGGCAAACAAACTGCTGAAATGAGACAACTTTAAGAAGTTGAACGTCCCAGTTTTAGACACATTCTTCTGATGTCTTAGATATATTTTTCTTTCCACAAGGAGTTACGCTCATGATCAAAGGTGACTTAAAGTTCAACTTTAAATAAAGATATTTTCCCCACTTTCAGCCTGCCTTTGACACTATTCCTATTCTACTGCACCTCTCTGGAGTTTTTTAGAGGAGGATGAAGCTGCAAGATCTTTGTGAATGCATAAAGGGAACAGAACACATGTTTAATAAAATAAATATAACTAGGACAACCATAGTTGAATCTCAAGTATGGCCCTTCATATGCTATTACAATACATTAATAAAATATGAATCTGTTGCAAACAGTGTTATCTTCCTCCTGAGAAAAGCAACACACACATAAAACTGGGTCTTAAAAGTATTCTATTTCTGTATAAAATCCAAAGTCTTTCTTTGACAGTACCTATGGAGAAAACCCTTGGTGTGAGACTTACTTTTAAATGAGATATATGCAAACCTATAGATATATGCACACATCCTTTCAAGCACAAATACAGAAAGAGGGGGAATCTGAAATAATTATTAATATAGTCACAATTCAAATATATGATACACTAATGTGCCTTTCATAGTTGGTCCACATGAATAATTATCCGCAGGCTGACCAAGCACAATGCTATGTATTAGAACTGAAGGGAGTTTACGCGAGTCAACAGCAATTCCTGCAGCAAGCCCTAGACATCTCTCACTACCATAAAATGTCAACACAGTACACAGTGCCAGTGAGTCTGTGCTGTGCTGGGTCACAGTATTCTTCAGCAATAGGGGAAACAGAAATGCTGATGCACAGTTGCTTCCCAACCATTCTGCTCGGTGGCTGAGCCTTCACAATCCTGACCAGGTATGCTTATAATGCAGAAACTGTCCTAGATTTCACCTCTCATTCTTTTGAACTCTGGATTTCCTGACCATGCTGTTCTTAGATGCCTCCAAAGCTGCCTTATAGAAAACAGCAAAGAGTCTTAAAATGTAGTTATGAGAACAAGCAGATCATACGCATGACACTCAGCAACATAACACAAATATATGATAACCAAAACAGCTTTCCCTGGAAGAAAGTACTTATAAGTTAGCCTTCTTTCCTTCTTTTCTATGATCTAACATACTTACCACTTTTGCATCAATGGCCACCTGAGCAAAGCCCTTCCGATTACCCCACATAATAGTATACGTTTCATCACTAAAGAGTGCTTCCCGAACTCCTCCTGGGGCAATGGCCAACAGACGGCCTTGCTTCAGACCTTTGACACATTCTTCTTTTGGTCCATGTATAACTCCATGTACATCAAGTAATATTTTAAAACCTGTAGGGTAAAATAATATTAATTCAGGAAATGTTAATTCATACTACCATTGAGTACAGATTTCCAGCGCAGAACACAGAGGCTAAAACTTATTTGTCCACAAACCTGTAACCCCAAACCAAAGAAGTTCCTAGAGACAGAAATATTAAGTCCTGCTTATAAATTTTGGTCTAGAAAGTTGAAGATTTAGGGTTTTCAGTGGCTTTTTGTCATAGTAAAGTCAAGTGCTGTTTCACAATCAGGACTAAACTGGAAAAAAAACGGCAAGCACTCTGACATCTTTCATGTGTACCTTCAAAGTTCTTAAGTCAGCTTCAGGGCACTGGCTCCTTGCCCAAGCTCTACTTTTCAAATGTAGCACAGTCCTAATAAAGGACAACAAGAGAAAATACCAGCAAATTGCTGTGGTTTTTTTGTTAACTTTGGCAAGCAAAGAGTAGTCTGCGCACACAGAGAATGACAAAGAAAATGCAGCATTCTCTGTGCTACCAGATGACCTTTCACATAGGCATCTAGCAAGGCTAGGTTTGGTATATATAAATCTTAGTTTAAGATTTTCATTTACTGAAGTTTTTAACTGCCAAGTTTCATAAACTCCTCATATCATCTTGAATGTGAAGTGTCATGCTGACATAGCTCTTTAAGAAACAGCAGAATATCAAAAATTTGCTTACATGCATCAAGTGGAAACATACCTGACTGATTTAGACAACTAGTCTAATGTGCAAGAACATAACTAGCATAAACCTCTGTTTGTAGGAAATCAGTCACATTTACTTCATTCAATAAATTTTAAATTTATAAGTACCACACACCAAAATGGAAACTTTAGATGATTGACCAGTATGGGAAAGATTACTTCTTTTTCTTGAAGTTTCCTGGTAAGGTAAACAACCTTATCAGCCATAGATGAGGTCACAAAACTGATCTAGTTGAGTCTGCCCCTCAATAACAGACCTTAATTTTTTAACCTCAGGTTTGCAATGAACTATGAACTTTTACTATGAACACGCATTTGTTACACACACACACACACACACACACACACACACACACACACACACAGAGGAGTACACACACACACAGAGGCAAAGAGATCTCTCTTATTTTACAGCCTGCATAAAGGTTTGCAAATTAATAGCTGTTACTATGAACACGCATTTGTTACACACACACACACACACACACACACACACACACACAGAGGAGTACAAATATACTCAAGAAGACAGAGATCTCTCTTATTTTACAGCCTGCATAAACTAAGGGCTTGAGAAGGACAGCGTAAGGCAGCATATCATTAGTTTATTCTTAGTTAAATTCTGATCTCTAACTAGTCTTTGTAGTTGGTGTGAGTATAATTACTCCTGATTTATATCTATATGCAGTCAGGATCTCTCCACAAACATGGCAACAGAACACCAGCTGCATTACACCTGTCTCATACTCTGCTGTGCCTGCCTCACACGCTGCTGATGACACTAGCAAGTCTTCATCTAGTAGCTTTTGTACAGAGGACACCTGAAATACAGTTTCGCTAAAGTAATTTCTCTCAGGTGCTTTGTCTGTGGGATCTTCAGTAGCTGGCTTTTACAATCTTTTACATATCCAAAGCAATTAAAACTCTCAGGAATATACCTGGTGTTACGCAGCTGCTTGTCTGTAAGCCCTTTCCGTCAGTGAGTTCGGGAGAGAGACAAAACAGTCATGAGAAGGGTTGAGACGAGCAGGAAAAAAGACTTCAAGGAAGGAGAAACTGTCAAGATAGCTTCCCTTTCTGCATTGAACATGCTGGGAAAGAGGAGGGGCTAAAAAGCAACACCACGAGTCTATCCAGTTCATATATCAAAAAAAAGAGAGAATAGAATACAGGCAGAATGCAGGCAAAAAATATGGTAATTCAGAATAGTCGTGAGGTGGGGTTTCAAGACTTCATAAAATTTCTCAGCTGTACTTTCCCCCTTGACTTTTAGTATAAACCTTATATTCTGAGCTGTACCTCCTAGCCTAGCCAGCAGGAGTATCTCTGAGATATCATCAGTATCTCTGCCCCAGTAGCAAAGGTGATGAACCTGGCTCCGTCACAGCAGCAGAGAGACAGGAACTAGTGCACTGGCCCTGAATTGACAGTCTGTGCCCAAGACAAAGGTCATCATGGAGTCAGAAGAAACACTGGGGCAGTACCTGGTTATTGCACAAAAGTGTTCAAGAACACATTTTTCCACTTTAAACAATAACAAAAACTCTTGAAATTATCTAAACACAGTTTCATAGCCTTCCAGAGCACAAAGGGATGCTAATTTTTCCAAGCACCAAGAAGTCCAAATTTAACTGTATTCACAGTCCAACCTGGACTCTGAGTATTTCCTGCCATGCTGTGTCCACACTGATGTTTGAAAACCTTTTGGAGAGTACTCAGCAATGCATTTAACATTTATCTCAAGGAAGTGTACTATATACATTTCTCTAGTTTAGCCCCAGTGACTGTAATACAAAGGCTGTCAGCTACCTGGTAGCAAGACTGCAAGGATGTCATTGTTTTTTCTGTGGTTGACCTTTAGGACCACAGATAGAGAGGACACTGAATCCAACCTTCCACAGTTGTAGGCAACCATGCATGTGGGACATGAACGTCTCTTCTATGAAGACAGACTGAGAGAACTGGGGCTGTTTAGTCTTAAAAAGAGAAGGCTGAGAGGGGATCTTACTAATGTATGTAAATACCTGAGGACTGGGTGTCAAGAGGAAGGTGTCAGTCTCTTCACAGTGCTGCCCAGTAATAGGACAAGGAATAATGGATGTAAGCTAGAACATAGGCAGTTTCACCTCAACATGAGGAGAAACTTCTTTACTGTGAGGGTGACAGAGCACTGGCACAGGCTGCCCAGAGAGGTTGTGGAGTCTCCTTCTCTGGAGACTTTCAAAACCCACCTGGATGCGTTCCTGCACGGCTGCCCTAGGGGATCCTGCTCTGGCAGGGCGTTGGACTAGATGATCTGTCGAGGTCCCTTTCAACCCCTGACATTCTGTGATTCTATGTGTTTCTGCAAAACATGTAGTCCACATGACACTTTGCAACACCTTGTGTATGTAGCAGACGAGAAGCCATAGCTCTCTTCCTCTGGGACACTGCAGGAGAGGGACGGTGTTAGATCCCTAAAACAGCAGCCAATTTCCTAAAGAGGGCTCCCAGATGAGTCCAGGAAGCAGACATGGCCCACACTATGGGAGAGTGCAGGCTTCACTGCACATTCTGGAAAAAAAAGACTTTCTCTTAACTCGGCCTTAGAGAAATCAATGTGCTTCTGAGCTTTAAACGTCTAAGAAGCTAAAAGAACCAGAAAAGATTAGACTGTTTCTTTTTTTTTTTTTTAATTCTGCTGTGACTAACCTCCAGCATTTAAAAGAAAAAGGAAAAATAAGAAGCCACTGGACCATATTTCATGTCCTTTCTGCCCCAAAATGCAAGTGACAGAAGCATGCATAGTATCGACAGGGTATGAATTGAGACAGCAAAATAATTTCCTTTTACGTTAATGTGAAAGAAAGACACATTAGGTAATGTTCAATAGGAACATCCAGATATCTGTAGAAGGTTTCATATTAGGTTAGTTTCCCTTCCATAAGTTATCAAGCTGTATCTTTCAAGACTATTCACTAGGGAGAAGCATGTTTGACCCCTTACAAGCTCAGGCATCCCTTGGGAGGCACAACATTTTACAAATGCTCCAGCTAATTCCAGTTAATACAAGACAGCAGTGCCCAATACAAAGCATGCAGTGACACTGCATATGAGCAACTGCCTGCTGCCATGGAGCCGAGATACAGATTCATGGGACAAGCCATTCCTCACAGTTATTCATAGTAGATTCAATAATCATAAAAACAGAAGGATCATTAAATCTAATCCAAGTGTGTCTAACAGCTTCCAGACACACCAAACCCACCCCTTCACCCCTCCCCTCCCCAAGCTTCTCCTACACTGAGCATAGTAACTTTCGGTTAACTAAAACATCTTGTGAAAAGGCATCCTATTTAATCTGCAGACTTAATCTTTGTTGGCAGTCTTTGTACTAGGACAAAATTATAGCAGTCTTTTTGGTTTCATTCACAAAAGAAGCAGCATCTATCTGGGTTGCAAGTCATAGATTTTAGTGCACATTTTGAAACACAATCCAGAAGACTGTCTGGCCTCTTTGGGCTTGTCTTCCTTGAATAGCCTTACTTCATTCACAGAACCAGATAATTATGTAGGTTGGAAGGGACCTCAGAAGGTCATTTAGTCCAGCCTCCCACTCTAAGCGGGTCCAACTAGATCAGGCTGCTCAGAGCCTCACCCAGCAGAGTTTTGAAAGTCTGCAGGGATGGAGGTTCCCCAACTTGTCTAGGCAATCTGTTCAGATGTCTGATTACCCTCATGGTAAAATAGCTTTCCACACATCTAATCAAAATTTCCTGTGTTGCAACTCATCTCTGTTGCTTCTCATTCTGTTGCTGCACACCCATCAGAAGAGTTTGACTCCCTCTTCTCTGCACCCTCTTGTTAGGTGGCTGAAGACAGCAATAACATATTTCCGCACCCTTACCCAGTACGGACCAAACAAACGCAGTTCTCTCGGCCTCTCCTCATATCTTGTGCACTCCAGCCCCCCATTCACCTACTGAACACACAGTACCATGTTACAAGTCTGTGTTGTACTGAGGAGTCCAAAACTGGGCACCATACTGCAAGACGTGCTTGCACAGGTGCCAGGCCAAGATAAAGCACCTCTTCACTCAACCTGCTGTGCTAAAAAAAAAGCTCAGCATGCAGTTCGTCTCCTCGGCTGCAAGGGCACACTGCTGACTCATGACCCATGTTCAACTTACTGTCCAGTAGAATGCCAAAGTCCTTTCCTGTAAAGCCACCTTCTACCCAGGCTACTGTCACATGGGATTGCTCCATCCCAGGCACACAACTTCACATTCGCTTTTGCCGAGCTTCATGATGTGTCTGCAGGTTAATTTCAGTGAAGGCACTCTGAATACCAGCTCTAACTCCCATTGTATAGACTGCTCTTCCAGTTCGGTACCATCTGTGAACTTCTTGTGAGCACGCTTCATCCCCTCACACAGGTGTGCAATAAAAACATTAAGCAGTGCATTAAGCAGCATCAGTCCCTGAAGGATGCCTGCAGAAACCAGCTGTTCACTAGATGTTGTACTGCTGAACTCAAGTCTTTCAGAGCAGCCATTCAGCCAGATGTCTCTGCGATGCTACTAAATGATGTTCGGGGGACTCCTACGTACACTTACACTTAGAACCTCATTTTAAAGCAGAAATGGAGAAAAACAAGATAATCTCCCATTTGAAAAAAACTGTGCTTAAGTATTAACAGATATAATATGGAGCCAAAGCTAAATTACAAAATGGATTACATTAGGCAGCTCTATGCAAAAGATTTGATAATCAGCTGACAAATCCTAGTTTCTTGCCAAAAGCAGGTGTAGAGGCAAAGCCATGGTGTTATCAGTATAAAAAAAGTTCAGTTTTCAGGAATTAAGGCTGAAATAAAACTAAACTGGCAAAAACAGTCTTTAGATATGAGCTGTTTCCACTAAAAGCATCAGAAACTACAGAACCCTGCCATAAACTCACTAAATGAATTACGAGATTTTTAGTCACAAACTGAACTTGGAACACAATCTGGGTACTACTGTATTTCACACATACAAAAAACAAACTCCTCACATAATTAATTTCACTAATCATCAGTGTTTTTCCCTAGGCTGTCCAGCCAAAATCATATCCTAAATATATTTTTCATTTTCTTCATGCTTCACCTCATGTTTCACACAAACTTGGACACTTCTACAGCATTCCTCCAGAAAAGATTCTTCTTGGATCAGGTTCCACTGCCCAGGATAGTTAGCTGGGTGGGGTATGAGAAAAGATCATCTCCCAGAGTAATATTACCAACTTTCAGGGGCACTGCTTCCAAACAGTTTATTTCTTAATCATGTCACACCACTCATTCTGCCTATATTGGTAAAAAAAAAGAAACATCTTATTGAAGTCTTTTATGCCAACTAATACAGGCACAACTGTGTCTCCATGGCCTCCTTCTCTCTGTTTCTAAACATCCTATAGATGTTGGATGGTGTTGTCCAGCCAGGAGTACGACCCATCCTTGCATGGGCCAGTCTCATAAACTCATAAAGAAAGCGTTAGACACAGCTGTACTTCAAAGCTTTTCACTAAATTTGTCTGAATGTCTGTTTTGAGAGCCATGCTCCTGTCGCACAATTTTTATTAATTACACTGTAAAAAAAAAAAAAAATAGAGTTCTCAAACTGACTTTTTATAATGAAGTATGTTACCTGGTAATCTAAAGACGAAATGATCAGCTACTACGTAGCACTGTCTTTTCTTTAGTATAAGAAGTCTAGCCATGAAATAGAGACAGTCAGCAGGAGTAGCTCCATGATAAAACACAATAAGTCCTGGTCCTTCAGGAATGTTTCCGGCACCATGAAGCTCGTAACCTGTTAGGAATAGAAAGCATAACAGATGTCAAAATTTGATATGACTCTATCTTGCAATTGTGTCAAGCTGGTAAACTGAAATGAGTATCTAGTGAGAACTGGTAAGAGTGAAGTGACCGCTAAAACATCAGAAGGTGGCTTGGAGTATTTATTAAGTTGCTTTCATATGAAATAAAAGTTTCACGTAAAGCAGAAGTCAGACTGAAAGAAAGAAGAGCAACAAGAAAACCTGAAAACAAAACACCCAGTCTCACTACTCTGAACTATACAATTTTCCCTTGTTTTTTTCAGTTCACTGTCTTCAAGGCTGCAAAGTCCTCTGAATCAATCATCCAAGAGAAATCAAAACAAGGATCAGATAGGATTTGTGAAACAAAACGATTTCAAGCTATTATTTATTTATTTAAAGCTCACTGCCACCAATAACTGAGATTTGGTGTGACAACATCCATATGCACGTCTCCTTTTACCCCAAGGTATGAAGCTTATCTTTGTTATTTCTCTCAGTTATACTTGCTCCATTTTTCCATCACTAAGTACTAGAAGCTATTTGGGGCTTTATATGCTTAACTGAAACATACATAAACATGCAGAAGTTCTTACTGAACTTACATTTCTAATTTAGTTAACAGTGCAGAATATATTCAGTTAACACAAAGTATCAAAATGCATCACTGTAGAACATATTCAGTTAATACTGAGCAGTATTGTTACAGCAACTTGTTTGTGGTTAGGGTTGGTTTTTTTAATAAGTTAAAAGAAAATAAGAAAAAATAAACAAACCAAAATTCCAAACCCTGTAATTTCTTCCAGAGTTAATCAAGTCTGCAATTCTCATTCCTTTTCTTTTTTTTTTTTTTAAATTCTAAAGGTACTCTTGGCTCTCTCTCTCTCTATTGTACTTTCTATACCTGTGGAGTTGCAACATGCTGCAAGCATATGATCTGTACCACCCCCAGTGATCTTTAATTGTGCTTCATGCCAGTGTATCATAACCAGAATGATACTTACATCTAACATTTGCATAACATATGTAAAGTTCCAGGTATCACATACACCGGGTTTAGCTTTTGGCTCAGGGCTTTTTGGCTGTGGTGTTGATTTTTGGGTGTCCCCCTCACAAAGCTTTGAGATTCAGGATGAAAAGTTCTTGTGATACACTGATTAATCAAGTCGGAGGGAAAATAATGGCACACATTTCATTTTTCAGGAAAAGTGTACAGAAAGCTGGCAGGGCAGAAAAAAGTCACAACTGTCAATGAGGGACTAGATAAGAATCTTTCCTGAGCAAATAAAAAGTTAGACCTTATAAAGAGAAAAAATTACTAAGGATGAGAAGAGTCAAGGCCTTAAAAAAATCATTTTCTTATGAAAAAAGTAAACAGCTTTTACTGCGAAGTGAGCATTTTAAGCTCTTTGATGTAGCTGTTGATTTTGATCTAGTGTACTTTCCTAGATTTGAAAGTTACATCTTGGTCTTACAAAGCCTATCTGATACAGCCGCTGCACCATCTGGTTATCAATGCCTTGAAAACCCACTTCTCTTTGACTAGAGAACAAATAGAGATGATTTTCAAGAAGGATTTATTCTTTATGTAAATTGCTCTTAAACATCTCTTTCTCCTTTAGCTGCATCTAGACTGAATGGTTCTGAAAGAGGCTTATGATTTCCTCAGAAAGAAAAGTCAAATCATTTACTAAGTCTGTCTTTATGGAAAGAATAACAGTAGAAGGACAAGGAAGAGCCCTTAGTTTTGACATTCTAGTAGAAAAAGTAGTTGTCGAAAATACATAGGCAAAAAGAAAATTTAAAAGTAGGGTTCTGTAACAGTTTGGGGCTCTAATGTCAATCTGAAGTACCAACTAGCAAGCGAACTGATATCAAGTGCTCCTTTTAGCCGTCATTTAGCATTATATGTAAAAGACTGATTAAGTGCAGTTAAATTCTAACATGTTCTGTCAGGGTACTGGCATTTAACTTCCAGCATTCATACACTGACTCTGAAATAATATAGTTAACTGATCTAATTTTTAACATAGCAAACATTTCAGGTCCTCCTGGAATGAGGAAAGCCAAGTGTAGTTCTAAGAAGAGAAAGGGAAAAAAAATTTTTAAATTGCATATATATTCAACTGGATGAAAGATGTAATTTTGTAGCAGCAAAGGAATAAATGCATAAGACAAAGTAATTTTACACCCTGTGCTCCTTTTGGCTTGGATAGTTATTTTTCTCCACAGTTGCTGCTATGGGGCTGTGTTTAGGATTTGTGCTAAAAACAGTGTTGATGACAGGGATGTTTTAGTCACTGCTGAGCCGTGTTTACACAGAGCCCAGATCTGTTCTGCTCCTCACAGTCCATCACAGTGAGGACTCCAGGAGCACACAAGATGTTGGGAAGGGACACGGCTGGGACAGCTGACCCCAGCTGACTAAAGGGATACGCCGTCATACTCAGCATCAAAATCTGGGGGAAGAAGGAAGGAGGAGATGTTCAGGGTGATGGCACTTCTCTTCCCAAGTCACCATTATACGTGATGGAGCCCTGCTTTCCTTGTGATGGCTGAACACCTGCCTGCCCATGGGAAGTGGTGAATGAATTCCTTGCTTTGCTTTTCTTGTGTGTGGCTTTTGCTTTTCCTGTTAAACTGCCTTCATTTCAACCCACGAGTTTCCCCACTTTTACTCTTCTGAGTCTCTCCCTCATCTCACTGGTGGGGTGAAGTGAGTGTCTGGGTGGGGTTTAGTTGCCAGCTGGGGTTTAGTTGCCAGCTGGGGTTAAACCACTCCACATCCGAAAAACTCTCAACGGTTTTTTCTTCCTTCCAAGCACCACTGGCAGTCATTATTAAAATGGAAAAAAAACCCAAAACAAAACCAAAAAAAGCCCTGATTTTTAGATTTCATGCAACAGCAGCAATAAAGAGATATATATTAATAATCCTGAAAGGTAACCCAGGAATAAAAGCTTCAGCAGCTTTTAACAAAAAGTCAGATCTCACTTACCATGCCATATTCGTCCATGTCCATCCCACAGGGTAGCCAACATTTGTTTTGCACCATCCCAAAAATCATTTGAATAAGCTTCCTTTAGTTCATTTTTCCTTTTATAAATATGAAGAAGGAGAATGGAAGTGTAGAAGAGGATGACAAGAACTCCCGGAAGTAGAAAAACTACTGCAAGTGGAAAAAGCACCCATAAAAGGTAGACTGCGTAACTCAGATAATCTTCAATATGCTCCACGCCAGTCCATTCTCCCAGAATGTAAGTCAGGCAGGTTAAGTAGGACATAGGGATCTGTCCTGCAGTACTAGATTCATTTCCACCTATCATCTCCTGTTTAATTAAAAAAAAAACAACACACAAGACAGATAAATGAATGCTCAGAAAAGATAATCAGCCTGTACTGTTTAAGCAGGCAAAAAAAAAAATAATCTCTGAGATATTTTATTCATATATCATTTACCTCACATCCCAGCAGCACCTATTAGAAACATAGTGGTTCATACAGTAAAACTATTATTTGATTTTTTTTCTCCTTTTCTAATAGGTGTAGTGGAAATGCTGATAATTCTAATTGAGAAAGATACTGCAATTGCTGAATGTCAGGCTAGGATTTTATGTCATTAAAAAGTGTTTAACTTACGCAGACCCAAAACATTTATACTGCCACCAATACCAATTTATGCTGTATTTTCGATTTTCAGAAAGCTATATTGATTAGTCTAATTTATTGTTCTACACAACACACTCAAAACCATCTCCCAAGCAGTTACTACAACAGAAAACGACATAATCTCAAATTCAGTGCTCTAAAAAAATGGCTGAAATCTTCCACTTATCTACAAGCACACGATGACTCAGGAAGAAGATCTCAAATGAAAAAATAAACACTTCTGTAGACACCTGTGATGGTTCCTGGAAATTTAGAGATCATAAAACACTCAGTCTCAGAGCAGAACACAGGGAAGCAGCAGAAAGGACAAGGAAAAAAGATCACGAAGAGTCCTTTAAAAGTTTTAACGGCTCAGTCATTCTTGCATCTATGTATAAGAAACTCTCCTTTCCAGTGCCTAAGAAGTTTCAGGGCTAGAATTCCGTGGGCTGATATTTGAGGTTTTCTGTAATTCTAGAGCAACATTTTTTTCTTAGCTTTGCATGATTTAGGGAGAAACTTGCTATTTACTTCATTTTACAAACATGAGACAACCTGCACACTTGATGATCTTAACTACAGTTCTAGAACAATGTAAAATAATACCTCAGGGAAAAAAGAGTTACCCTAGTCTAGAATAAGGTTTTGGTCAGGACTTGAAGTAACTTAGTAAGACTAAGAAGGAAAACATGTTACAACTATAATGCAGGCTTGCACAGAGAAACAGATTAAGAACAATAATTTCTGAAAGAATCTAAGCTTGGAGTTGTTGTGCTTTGTTTTTTATTAAAATGTGACTTACAGCATGTATGACTGCAGGGTTCTTATCTATAAGGATAAACATATGTTTATTACTCTTTTGCTTTGTTTCTGCAAGCAACAAATGACTGAAGTTCAGAAGATAATTTTGCTAATACTATCAAAACCTCAATGACAACAAAAGCTACAAAACTGATCAGTTTTACTCTATATTTGCTATGAGACATTGAAACATGTACTACAGCAGAACCTAGCTCACTTATTTCCTAGTCTCAATTCTTCCCCTCACTCTGATAGAGCAAGGATGCTCCTTTTCTTTCTGTTCTGAAATGGGCCTCTATCCATATTGCTCAAGATAACTCCTATTAACAAGGAGAAAGCCAATCTTGTTGATGAGGATTTTGCTCCCACGATCCATGCCTGTTCCACAAATCCAGGCTTACAACACTTTGCTCCTCAGCATGTTCTTGAGGACAATGTGACGAGCAGCTGATTTATCTCAGCAATGTATAAGCACGTGACGTCAGCAACATGCGCTTCGCTGATCTCACACACGTGTCTTCGGGGGTGTGAATGAGGGGTGAAGGACAGGAGAGAGACAGCATGTGGGAGAGCAAGAGAAAGCTCTTTCTCATTCCGGTTGCCAGAGACGAATTCCAGAACCTGTCAAGCAGCAAACACCCAGAGCAAGTACAAGAAACACAACCTGTGAGAATGAGCAGGATTTAGGAGTAGCATTCAACACTATAGTATTTATCAGATTGTTACACCTGAACTTCATCAGCGGCTTCACCTCCTAGCTAGAGAACAATATGGAGCATGGGTTATGGCAAAGAAACATTTTTCAAAACTCAGAGGTGATTATATAGCTTTAAAGATTACCTACTCCCACCTATTATATTTTTAATTGTTTATGGCTTTCTCCAAACACAAAATCCTCATCAGGTAAATTTAAAGTCCTGTCTGCACACGTCAGCCTTGCAAAATATTACTTGTCCTTTTGCCTGTAATGTTGGATGTAACACCTCAAATGCAATCATTGCAGTTTTATAAGTTTACTTTGCATATCTATGCATTAACCTGTAATAGAAATTAAAATCCAGTATCTTCTTCACTGCTAAACACAGAAGTAAAATCTAAAGCACTGCCTTCTCTTAAGAACAGTCAACTCTAAATAATATTGATTCCTCATCTTGAGAAGAATTATAGAATAATTTATATTGGAATTATTCACTGGACAGTATTTGTCCAACATCTTGTTAACTAAGAAGTTAAACAGGGTTGCTCAGGGCCATGTCCAGCTCAGTTTGTAATATCTCCATAGATGGAGATCCCACCGCTTCTCTGAGCCTCTAATCCAGTGCTTGACCACCCTCATGATGAAAATGTTTTTCTGCATTCTAGTTAAAATTCCCTTTACTGCAATTTGTGCCTGTCGCCTCCTGTCCCTTTGCTGAGAAGAGTCTAACTCCCCCTCTCTATAACCACTCATTAATAGCAGCTACTATATGCTGTCAATAGATAATGTCATTTTGGTCTGTTCTAACTTTATAGCTCTCTTTTACTGCCCAGAGCAGTTGAAATTACAACATAAAGCACACTGTCTTCTAGAAAAGGCACCAATGTCACTCTGATTTAGAATTCAGCCAAGCAAAGAGAGACTATCGTGCCCTCTGCGTCAGAGACTTCCACATCTGTCACCACCCAAATCTAGAACATACAATGGGGTGCAGTACTACTAAATCTCACCCTTAGCCAGTTTAAGGCAGAATCCCTCTCTAATACGAGCGAGCACGCCCTTAAAGGACCTCTTATTTTAATTGACATCACTTACACATTTCCTATTGTGCAGTTCAATCTGAATACTTTTAATTTAAGTTCTAAACTCACCAATAGAGCCGCTCACATATATTTACACTAGATGAAAAAGATGCAACTTCTCATTTGACTAATGACAGTGTATGCCGACTTATGTTTACTCTTAAGGCTTTATGTTGATGGTGAAATGGAAACAAGACTAACATACAATTCCTCTCATTAACTTCTAGCATAAGACACAGAAAAGTCCTTAACTAAACTACAAAAGTGGTCTTCAGCTGTCATCAGCAGACACTGGGTTAACTCAGACCCTAGTGATCATGTAGAAGAAGCAATTCTGGAAAGCAGCATAGACTGCTGTAAGCCACATATAGCATGCTTTCAGCATGTATAGGAGAAGTGTAAGTGGAACTTCTGGAGCACATTCCAGTATCCCCAAACTAGGAAGATACTGCAAAGCAACAGACACAACACGTCCCTGCCGACAGAAATACACTGCTCCTCACTGCGTCGGTCGGTTACGGAGATATTTCTACCACTGCAAACATAGAAAAGCAGAACACCCTGATAATCCTGTTGGCGGCATCTGCAACTGGATCAATCCGAGAAGTCAAGAAGGTGGTTTTGCCCTTGTTTTGAAACAAGAACAGTCTCGCTTCTGCCTTCTCCAACAGCAGGACGGTGCCTCCTCCTTCTGCAAGAGGCCGGAGGGGAAGTCGAGTTTCTTTTTCCCGGCAAGAAGGACATGACCCCAGCTCGGCCGCCCCAGTTAGCGGCCCCCGGCCTGTCCTGCACCGCC